TGTATGGACAACAAAAACTTCAAATCCAAGTGCCTAAATCTGAGTTAGAGAGGGTTCATAAACTATTTAATACTGCATAGAACTTCTAGAAAAATATATTGAAGTGGCTTATCCTACTACTCAATTCAAAATTAATTTCCGCTTTTTGTTAAATTCAATAATGTATTAATTTTAGTTTCATAAATTTTTAAAAAACGAGCAATAATTTTGCACATTGTAATATATATATAGATGATACAGTAAGGTTTATGAATAATAGCGAATTTGTTGAGAGAGAGAGAGAGAGAGAGAGAGAGCAAAATTACTAATTATCTATATAAACAAAAATATTAGTTAAATAAATTACAACGAGTTAGAAAGGCCAATAGTAAAAACACTTTCTAAATTGATAAACCTTAAAGACAGTTTGTTAGTTCTGTTTTAAAAACTAACAAAAATTAAATGCCTATGGTCAGAATGAATGAAAACAGATAAGAAGAATAATTAAAAATCAATCACTACTTCTTATTTGTAAATAACTTAATTGTTTTTAGTGGTTGTGAAAAATTAAAGTTAAAAGAAAATGCAATAAATATTCAAGGCACAATGACAAATATCAAAAATAGTATCCCCATTTACGAGGAACAACAAATAATAAATGAAGAAACAGCGAGTATTCAAAAAATATTAAATCAATTTAAACAACCAATACCTGACGAATTTACTGAATTAGGTCAACCGAAAAAACATTGAGGTTCTACTGAGGATTGAAAAGAACCAGTTTGTGAAAGATACAGTTTTAAACACAACAATAAACTAATCACCTTAGATGTTGATCAAGAACTAAGTAATAAATTAGAACTAACTCTAGAAGACAATTTTTATGTAATTTCTGATGCACTAACCCTAAAGGATGACAACAAAAAAGAGATAATTATTACCATTAAAAACGAAAAAGAGATATTTATTCAAAGACCCCTAACCATTGACAACTTAGATAAAAATTTGACTAAAGTATTTAAAAAATTAGAAAAAAGTCAGGAAACTATTGAAGCTTTACAAAAAAGGCTAGAAGAGTCGGAAAAAAATAGAAGTGATTGAAAGAATGAATGATTAAAAGAGTGGAGGAAAAACAAACAAATCCAAGAAAGAATAAATGACTTAGAAAGAGAAATTCAAGAAAAAGACAGAGAAGTTAACCGTCAAAAAGAACTAATTGAAAAAGGAACAAAAATAAATGAAAAACTCCAAAAAGAGTTAGAAAAGTTAAAGAACAAAAGAAGAGATTGACAAAGTTTTTATGAATGATTAATGACTGATATTGTAGATAAAAACGAACCCAGTTTTATAAAAAAAGAGTGGAAAACAAAATATAAAAGGTTAGATAAACACATGTCTCAGTATTTTAGATGTCTTTTTGAACTTTTGGAAAATACAGTTGGAGTTCGTGATGTGAATTTACCCATTAAGAGTTATAACAATTATATTGGTTCAGAGACTTGTCAAAAAGTATTGAATCCTTATAAGGAAAGTGAACGATTTTCTGACTTTTATCTTTGACCAGAAATCAAAAATTTTGAGAATTGGGTTGCTGGTGAATATGATAGATTACTAGATAGTTGAAAAAAAGAAACTCCTTTACAAACTACTACATAATAAATAATCATGGTAACAATCAAAGAAAGAGACAAAATCTCTTTTCTAAGTTTAATTGAAGTAAGATTGGTAAAATTACTAACTGATAAGCCGGAATTTCCCCAAGGCTATTACTTTAAGTGGTTAGCCTTTAATCGGGATAATCCTGGGGAGCGGGTGTTATTTGATAACCATACTGGTAAAGGATCTCATTGACATGAAAATGGTCACCAGGAATTTTTTACTTGGGTATCCCGCTCACATACTCAGCAAATGTTTTACCAAAAAATCATTGAGAAGTTTGGTAAATTTCAACAAAAATTAAGTTAGTATTATGAATAATAAACCTAAAAGCGAAGTATTTATCTTTCGTTATGACCCTCATAGTTCTTTTGAAAGTATGTTTGAAGAGTTTTGAGATGCCGTGGATGGAAAAATAGAAGCAGTGGAACCGCATATCGTTCGTTCGAATAGTATTGAAGCACTTTCTTCTAACCTGACTAAAAATCGTTTAAGATTATTTGCAACTTTGGTAGAGAAAAAGCCAGTTAATCTGACTGAATTAGCCCATCTATTACAAAAAGATTATGCCCTAGTGCGACGGGATGCTCGTATCTTGGAAGGCATGGGACTTATTAAATTAGAAAAAGTGACTAAGGAAGTTCAAAATGGTCATGGTAGCGGTATAAGGTTTAATGAAGTTAGACCAATTGCTCTAGCGGATTGTGTTTGATTTTCCTATTCAAGAGGAGGTGACAGAAAAGGTTGCTATTGATAGTCGTCCAGCCATTCAATAGTTTTTATTGGTTATTCTTTTTTTTTAGTTTTTTTAAATCTTAATCAAGGTGGGAAGAAAGAAATTTAAACGAAAAGAAGTTGAGGAATATCTAAAAGGAGAATGGATTAGAGAATTTTCCGGTATTAAGAGAGACTACGAATAACTTCTAAAATCCAAGATTTTCTGGTTTTCGTTTAGAACCAATTCAAGGAGTAAAAGACCATTATAACATTAAGAACTGGGAGCGATCAATGACGGATATTCTTAAAGCCTGAGAAATAGATTTAAGTAAGTATAATTATAAGAAAGTAAGCAGGTAAAATATTCCTCTCATAAGGAATAGAATGAGATGGAACTTTTAAAAAATAACTTAACATGACAAGATTAAAAGAAGTTCAACCACTAAACAAGCAACCAATAATTAACCAAGAACAACCCGCCAAAGTTGTTAGTTGTGAGGTAAAGGGAGGAAAATTAATAACCCAATTGGACGATGGAAGAGAAGTTATTATTGCGGTTAACTTGCTAACTAAATATGGAATATTAGAGGAGGACACTAAACCCGAACAACTAAAAAGATATGAATTACAAAATGAAGGAAGGTATATTCATTTTACCGAAACTGATGAAATATTACCCGCTCGGATAATTAGCAAAGGAATATTTGCTCCTTGTGAGGAAGGGAGAGAGGAATAGAGCAAAAAAAATATTTGGAATTAGTTGCTAATTTAGCCAAAAGTCCTTAAATTTAGGCTTTTTTTAGAATATAGACACTTCCAATTTGGTGGTTTTTACTAGGGAGAGCAACTAGACCATTAACCACTAAAGGGAGAATAAACTCCCCCTTTTTAGTGATTACCTTTTGGAGGAATTTCGATTTGAGAAGTTGTTGCTTCTTGATTTTGCTCGGCTGGGGTGTCTTCAATATTAGTATTTCCCATAATGTCAATTTCATGAGAAGTAGAGTTTGCTATAAAATATTCATTAGTTTTTTCCTTACTATCATTACCTTGTTTAATTTGAACATAACCAGAACTCTCTGCTGATAAACTAATATTGTTTACTTCAATTATTTTAAGCATGTCTTCTAAACTTATTCTTTCACTAGGATTATCCTTTCAACATTGTTGGATAATATTTTGGATATTTTGGGGAACATCGCTAGGTATGGTTTCCTTTCCATTATTGACAGCAACATATACGATTATATTGTCAGCATCTTTAAAAGGCACTGTGCATTTAGCGGCAATTTCTCACACAATCATGCCCAAAGCATAGATGTCTGATTGCTCGGAATATTTTTCACCCTTTAATAATTCCGGAGCCATTCACCTTAAGGTACCTCTCTCATCCTTTGACCGCAAAGAACTAATATTTTTAGTTCTTGATAAACCAAAATCTGAGATTTTAACTTCATTATTATGAGTTAATAATATATTCATGCTTTTTAAATCTCGGTGGATAATATTCTCTTGGTGAATATAAGTTAATCCTAGAACCATTTGCCTAATAATTTCACTATTAAAGACTCAATTATGTTCTTTATCTTTATGGTTGTCAATGAAACTAGTCAAGGTTCCATTTTCAGCATAGTCCATAATAATAAGAAGTTTTTGTTCATCAGAATAAGTTCCATAATACTGAATAATGTATCGGTTTCTTAGGTTTTTCAAAATATTAATTTCATTGGTAATCTCTTTAATTTCATTTTTGGAAATGTTATTGGGTAATAGGTATAATTTTTTAACCGCTACATCTTGGAATTTTCATTTACCCCGGTAAACTTCACCATAACCACCTTTTCCAATCCTCTGTCCTAAGATAGGTTCAACCTGAACCGCATTTATATCGTTATCAATGATAATTATTTGTTTTTCTTTATTAATTAGTTGCTTTTTTAAATCTTCTATTTTATTTTCTTGTTCTTTTTCTTTCTTGCGTAATTTAGCAGTGCTATATTTAGTATTTTTTTTGGCTTCTTCTAACTGTTGTTTAGTGTTAACTAACTCTTGCTTTTCATTATTTAAGTCTTCTTGAAGATAGGCTAATTGGCGTTCTAATTTTTGCTTGGCAACTTCAAGTTGAGCAACTTCTTGCTTTTTTTCAAATTCAATTCGGGATATTTCGAGGTCTTTTTGAGCCTTAATCTCATCTAATTTGTTTTCAAGGTTGCGAGCTTCCTCTCTTTTAACTTTTAATTTTTCTTTTGCTTTAGCCAATTCTTTTTCTAATTTTTCGATATTTTCCTTAGTTTCTTGAAACTCTTTTTCGGTAAGGCTAGTATCTAATGATTTGGTTTTTTCTTCCTCTAATTTAGTTGCTAATTGGTAATAATTTGCTTGGGCTTCATTTAACTCTGTTTGTAATTCATTTACTCTTTTTTGTAAAGTTAAAACTTCTGCTTGGGATTTTTCTAACTGGGTTTCTAAGTTATTCTTTTGCTGTTCTAATTCTAGTAAAGAGGTTTGCTGAGATTGTGAACTTTGTAATTTACTTTCTAAAATAATTAGTTCATTTTGAAGTTGGATATTTTGTTGTTGTAGACTGGTTAGTTCAGTTTGAATTTTTTGGTGAACTACTTGTTTTTGTTCTAATTGAGTTTGAGTAGTGATTAGATTTTCTCGTTCAATTTTTCACTGGTTTTTGTCCTCTTCTAATCTAATAATTTGTTGTTGATAATTTTCTTTGGTAACCTTTAACTCATTTTGGTTTTGGGTAAGGCTTTGATTTAGTTGAGTATTTTGCTCTTCGAGTTGTTTTTTGGTTATTTTGATAGTTTCTAATTCTTGTTGAGTATTTTTTAGTTGTTTTTGTAACTTTTCATTTTGTTCTGATATTGAGCCAAGTTGGTTGTCAACTTCCTCCTTTTTTTGTTTAATTTGTTCGAAAGACTTTTCTAACTCTTTATTATAAGATTTTAAATTTTCAATTTCTTTCAGGTTTTCTTCGCGAGACTCCTTTTCTTCTTCGTATTTATTAGCATTTTTGACTTTTTCTATTAGTTCTTTATTGTTTTTTCTTCAATTTTTAAGTTTATCAATATCACTAACTCGACTTTCATAAGAACCCAATTGCTCGACTATTTTTTCACAAGAAGAGCAATAAAATTTCTCAATACTATCGGGTAAGTGCTCTAAGTTACTATTTAAATCAGTATCGGAAGTATCTAATCTAACATATTTACTGCTTGCTTTTTTCGGATAATAGTATTCTTTTTTCAATTCCCCTAAATTTAAATCTGACTGGGGACTATAGCCTTGTTTAGTCAGATAACAAGCAAAACCACAATCATTAATTGATAAACCAAAATCTATTCAGGATTTTAATTGTTGAACACTAATCTGTTTGTTTGATATTAAGTTTAATGGTTCAGCAATTTCTTTAACTTTACTGGCGGGTCTTGCTTCACTGGAATAATCAATTTTTTTAATACTAGCCGGCAAATGTTCTCAACCACTATTAATATCTGTATTTTCAATATTGAGTTCTTGTAATTTAGTTAGATTTTTTAAAGGTTCTAAACTGCCAGTAAAACGATTGTAAATGCCTTGGTTTATTTTTTCCTTATTATTACTACCAATTCATAAAATTTCTAAATTAACCAACTTACTAAAAACTGCTAAGTCTTGTTCGGGAAGATTATTATCAGTTATATCTAAATAAGTTAATTTATCAGCATTTGAAGGATAAACTATATTAGTTAAGTAATTATTACCACATCAAATTCTCTCTAAGTGGATCAAACCAGTTAAGTTTAATTCAGTAAGTTTATTATGACTACAATAAAGTCCCGTTAAATTAATAAAATCAGTTAAGTCAAGAGAACCCTCCAAACTTTCCCAACTAATATATAATTTTCTTACTTTTGCTCTTTTTTCTTTAGTATTATATTTTTCTTGACTTTCTAACCATTCTTGGGCATTTACCATATAACGGTTTTATAAGTTTTTGGAATATTCACAAATCAGTTTTTAAAACCGACCTAATGAGATTAATTGAGGGGTGGAGGATAAAAATATATATAAAATAAATTAAGAAAGAGCAAGAGAGTTAGTAACTAGGGAAAGGTTGGTCTAATGTCTAAGTGGAAAATTGCTCTCTCTCTCTCTCTCTCTTATGTAATGAATTAAAGAATTAAATAGAGAAACAAAATACTCTCTAAAACTTAGATTATTCTTATACAAAAAGATAATCACCGAAGTTTCAACATCATAATAATAATTAAAATTAATAAATATACTATAAAATAAAAATATATGTTACACTACTCAAATTAAATTTCCGTTTTTGGCTGTTTAACTGAATTACTCGGTAATTTAAAATTATTTAAACAAAACGGCAATTTTTGTAAGGTGATAATATGAAATGGTGAATTGAATAATAAAGAAAAATCAAGATTATAAAAATAAAAAATACATTCGTAACTCAATAAAAATATATAAAAATATAATATAAATATCTAATAAAAAAATAATATATAAATATGACAGTAGATTTTAGTAAATTAACTACAATAGGCGAAATTAAGAATGCCAAAGATGGAAACAAAGATGTTTTTACCGAGGAAGAAAAGAGATTATTTGAGGGTTCTTTAAGGAGTGATATTGAACAAGCACAAAAAGCAGCGGAGTTATTAGTGAGGATAAAAAAGGCGAATGAAGAAAAGAAACCAAATCCTAAGTTGATTGAAGACTTAGAGGATGAAAAAGAAGCAAGATATGGTCGGGGTTCAATAGTTTATCGAGCATTAAATATTAATGGTTTGGTAGAAAAAACAATTGATTATTTGGTATTTATTGGTCGAACCGACCTTCCAAAAGATAAAACTGCACGACAAGCAAAAATTACGGAAATAGAGAAAGAGATAAGTGAAAAAAGAGTTGAGCGGGTTAAAAATAATAAGTCGGTAACTCCTTTAGAAAATCAACTTAAAGGACTTCTTGAGGATAGAAAAGAAGTAGAGAAAATTGTGGAGAGAAAAAATAGTTTATTAGCTTTGCTAGGAGGAAATCCGACAGGGGCAAAAATTTCTCACAATGGCAGTGAAAAACTATTGAATGAGATCAATATTACTGATATTGGTGGTATTCAAGATTATGCTGACCCTGCTAATCCTGTAGCAGATAATACACACACCACGGTTGCAGATGTTGTGACTTATGCTGAGGGTTTTTATAATGCTATTAGAGAGAACTACGGAACTCCACCTCCTACTTATAAAACTTCACTTCCAACTCATTATTTCAATAATAGGACTTATCAAAATAAAGTTACTCTTACACATTCTGAAGATGGCATTGGATTTACTGTGTTAAAAGCCTTGCGAGAAGTTGGATTACCAAAATTAGAAGGAATTATTGATGATCTTAATGATTCCAATCTCACTGGTGGTGTCACTAAAAGTGATTTAAAAAAATATGCTAAGGAGATAGTAGAAGGCAGTATTCATTGACAGGAAGAGATCGGAGGAATAGGTTATCGATATGGTTCATCAAAGGATACTACTAAAGGATGAGAAAGAAAATATGAAGCCTGAAAAAGAAGTTTATTGAAAAAAAAAAAAACCGAATATCCTTATATTAAAGGGGTTAATTGGGAAAATTTTTTCGCACTCATCAATAATATATTCCCGTTGGATAGTGATGGTAATGTAGTAAACAAACCTTATTTAATCAATCCCAGCGACCCCAATTTTATAGCACCAAATAATAAAACTAAAGGATGATCAGAGATTATTTTTGTACATGGTTTTGCCGAAGAAATTCCTGCTGGTAAAACTTCTGGATGGTATGCTGCTCAACCCACTGCAAATCCTGTGCTTAAAGAACAAGTTAAAAAAGGATCTCAAGTAGCTAAAGATGCAGATTTTAAGTCCATCATTCAAGTGTGGCATCATTGTTTCTCTCCTTTCAATGATAGAAGCACCAACAAATGAAAAGGCACGACGGGAAGTGAAAAAATAGCAATGGATTATGAATTTGAAAACGGACAAAATATGCTTCGATTTTGCCTTACTATGCGAGAACTTTTCTATAAATTAGGAATAAGTTCATCAATAGATGAATTTGATGATTATTTATTAGAACTTATTTCTGAAAGGGAAATTGATGTCAATCTTGGTAATCCAAATGTTCTTGCAAAATGAAAAAATGAAATAGGACCTAAAAAAATAACTTCAGGTTCTGCTCTTGCATTCATTGAAGCAGTTGAAAAAAAAGAAATATGAAATAAAGATTATAATATGACTCGCCAAAAACTTTTAAATAACTTATTAGACAGAGATACAGAACGAAAAGGTGCTTTAGATAGTGAAATTGAGATTTTACAAAAAAAAATCGGTGATATTAGGGGAAAGAATGCTGAAATTGATGCTTTTATTGCTTCCAAAAAATTGGAGATTGATGCTTTGAAAGAACTTGAAGAAATTTCAGATAAACCTTTACCAGATAAAAAAGCATTTTTCGATAATCTCTATGCTAAAAAAAGCAGCGACGGAAAATGATTATGACTTGATATTTTATCAATGAAATCCGCTTTGGAATTAATTAAAAGTGAAATGGAAGCAAAAGGTGAAGATTTTCAAGGTGAGTATGGAACTAAGGAAACTGAAATTACCGAAAAATATGATAAGGTTATAAAAATCCATGGAAACATTCGTGGAGAATTTGAAGCATTTGTAAATGCTACTGATGATAAATTACCTTCTAGTGGGATTAAGAAAATTTTAAAAGATAAGGGTGAAGTTGAGGGTAAGGCTCTTTTAGAAAAAGTTTCGGGTTATTTTCAAGAACTAGATGCCGAAGTCATTTTAAACGATAATGAAAAAGATACTTGAAATAATCAAATTAAAGAAGCCATCAAAGATCCAACTAAATTCCAGGATAAACCACAAACTCCTAAAATATCCGTTGACCAACTCAAAGAAGTCTTTGGAAATGTTGATGATGTAGTCGATCAGGGCTTGGTAGATAAATGAGTAAATGAGGGGATTAGTAAGGAAGAAATTGCAAAAATAATTGGGTTGGTGGTTGGTTCGGATAAGAAAACTCCAAAAACAGAATTCATTAGTCATTTGAAAAAAGATGGACTTGATGATGCCACTAAACTTACCGAGACTGATGACGATAAAATTTGAAAAGAATTCTTGAAAAAGGATCCCGAAAGAGTAGGCAAGACTATTTATACTCATTGGTTAGAAATTGGGGATAACGAAGGATCTATTAAAAAAGAAATGAAAGATAAAGTAAAAGATGGCACGAGTGGTGATGAGGAAGAAAAATTGAATATGACTAGTTATGGTTCTACTAGCAAAGATGGAGATCCGGACAAGCCTGGGATGGTGAAATATCTCTGAGAAAAAGCCAAAGGAGGAACTGGATTTAGTTATTACAAAGTTAAAGAAGATGAAGGAGGGGGTAATAAGGATAAAGACAAAAGCGAAGAAACCGGATTTTTGGCTCATCTCGGACGCAATTGATATTGGTATTTGGGTGGATTCGTTTTAATAGTTATTCTAGCCGTAGTAATTTTCTGAAAGAGCATTAAAGAATGATGAAATGGTTCGGCTCCATACTCGTCTTTTTTCTTTTTTTTCTCAGGCATAAATTAAATATTTTTTTGGAATTTTGTTAAATAAGTCGTGTGTATAGATTTTATACGAATTGCAAAAAGTAAATAATAGAAATATTTCCAACTTACTTTACTTATGCTAATAAATTAAAAACTTTTTCATCTACTTTCACCAGGCTTGCCGAGATACTTCACCAAATCTAAAACAATCAATAATTTTTTATCAATATTTTTCATTTCTTTCTCAGTTAAATTGCCTTGCTTGGCTCCTAACAATCTTTCTACATCCACTGCTCGCACTTGTTCACATTTGGCTTTGCCAGGTTTGCCTTGAAAATAGGTTGGAACTTGAAAAGTCGGTTTGATATTATGAACTTTGCTAGAAAACGGAATAATCACTACTACTTTATTTTGTTCGTTTTGCTTATTATTAGAAACTACCACTACTAAACGCCGTTTAGTATCTTTATCGTTTTTTTGCTCGTGTCCTTGGGCATCATCTAAATTGGTGTAATAAACTTCCCCTCTTTTAATTATTCTATTCGCCACTGGCATCTTTTCACTCATCGGGGTCATTGGCTCAGTCTTGGTAATCTTTGGCTAATTGTTTTTCAAATTCGGCTTGGGTTAACTCTTTATCTTGTATTATCTCATTATAAATAACCTGATAGTCTAATTTTTTTTCCGTCAAGGGTGATTTTATTTTTTCTGCTTCGGCAGTCTTAATGATTAGTAACTCCATCATATATTTTTTTCTTTACAGAAGGGAATTTTATTAAAAAAAACCTTTTTGTAAAAATGGCAGAGGTGACAGGACTCGAACCCATAACACGCAGTTTTGGAGACTGCTGT